GTTGCCCTTTCGGGCTTGAACTGATGGTAAAACTAACAACATTATGAACTGTCTTGATATTTACTTTGAAAGCTGAAGCTCACGATTATTACATTTCCGACGCGTGCTTGTGGTGTTCGGCCAATCACGATGCACTGGGTCAGCTGGCCAATCAGAGTAGACTGCGCTTGTCAAAGGAGGGGGCTTTGTTGAAAACGACGTGTTTGAGAGGGGCGGGGCATAGGGGGGCCTACAATAATGTTCAGTATTTGAAAAATAATGTGTTTTTTGAACATTAAAGCATGCCAACATCTTCTGTTACACCAAATACACAAAATAATGATCTTTAAAATAGCATCATAGCATGACCCCTTTAATAAGATGCCTGTCTGCACAAGACTAAAAAGACAGTCGGCTCCATACAGTCTTTACGGGTGCGGGTTTTGAGATGACAAGAGAGAAGCGAAAGAGTGAGAGCTCTAATGGGCTGATTTGTAATCCCCAAAAATCCAGCCTGCGGATTACAGGGGCGCACACTTCACAGAGCACACCTGGGGGCCCTTAACACACATGCACACACATACACATTCAGGTAAACTGTCAGCTACAAGGCCGCAGCAATTCTATGAGTTGCCATGGGAACGGCAAGAGTAGGGGGTACGTTCCATCAAGAAAAGGGGTTTGTGTTTGTGCCTCACCACCACTGTTGATCTGTAATTGCTCGCATCCGGCGGACCCCTCCCTCCCCCATATGCACAACCCTGCTGTCCTCTCAGCTCACCCCGCTTACCCCTCCCCTGTGGCCGCAGCAGCAGGTGGCCTCGGCCCGGTGAGCATCTGTCACGGCTGGGCCTGAACGGGCAGGAGGCATTAATACATATTCACAAGCGAGAGGGACTGATCTCTCTTATTTTGTTAAAATTATTCACATATTCACAGATGAATATGTTCCCAGGGGTTCCCAAACTTTCGCATGTCACTGTATCTTGATAATTTTGATAACGTAGGAAAACAAAACAAATTTTCCTAGGACAAAATTATAGCACTACATTTATGATATAATAAATACATAAATAACTGAAAACAATTATTATTATTATTATTATTATTATTAAGTAAGTAATTCTGAAACTATCAACTAGTACAGTGTTTCTCAACCAGGGGTCCTTGACGTAAGGCCAGGGGGTCCATATAAAGTATGAATTTTTGTATACATTTTGTATATTTTGACATGACATGTTCCCATAAAAGAAAAATCCAATATAGCTGATGATATGGCCAAATACTGGACGAGTCAGCTAACTTGAATTATACTTCACTGTATTTGGTCCTCACAAAGACACAAATGATACATAGATGAGTCAATTTTGTTTTGGGGGTCCTTGAGGATGGTTCTGAATTGGACTGGGGTCCGGTACGCCAAAAGGTTGAGATTCACTGAACTAGTACATATATATGTTTGTATACACAATGTCCATTGCCATTTACCATTGATATATGCTACAATATATAATGAAGATTATTTTTTTTCTTTTTCTCAAATTATTTATTTTCTACTCTTTTTAAGTTAGGCTAAAGCTGTATGCATGTGTGAGTATTATATGTTGTATTGTTTTTCATGTCATGTCAAGAAACATTAGAGACGTATTGCTTTTGTTTGCGAACGCTCATTTTCCAGTGTAATATCCATTTTTTATTTTGAAAAATAACTTACATAAATCTCTGTACTCAACCATACTTGACCAAGACATAGCCTTGGCATGAACACATTGCACCAAAAGAAAAAGAAAAAGAAAAAGAAGAAAAAAAGAAATACAGAAGGCATTTGAAATAGAACAGAACATACCTTTGACATCATGAGACATTATCCCACTTCCATAAGATTTGACGATATCTAGAGAGTTTGCTTTAATAGAGATTTCTATTAAAATTCTGTAGATTGTGACAGACGTACACAGAAATCATAAGTAGACTGAAAGCTTGGTAAGTTAAAAAAAAATCATATTGGTTAATCAGACAAGTTTATTTTCAAAGGAAGAGGTATAATGTCTCAGTGTATATTTCCATTCAGGCATTAAAACTATGATTCATAAACTTCTCAGATATAAGAAGCTCTGATTATTACTAAAAAATAGAAAATAAAATATAAATAGGTCTTGGCTTGTAAATAAACGAACAAAAATATATTAAATGACTTGCTTTCTCGAAACGAAGAAATAAAAACCAAAGTTATATTGTGTGGCAATATCATCGTCCCGATGTGCATTTCTCTGCAGACAGCATCATGCTCGGAAAACTGTACAGCACAATACTGCGAAAGTCAGTGAGTTGCAGCCGTCTCCAGTAAAAAGATCTCGTGAAATTTTAGGCTCTTTTGTTAGGAATACTGCAGCTCATATTTCCGTAAAGATATAAAAATCCCTGGTCACGTTTTTCCCTTAAATTTATCAACAAAGTATGATTTTACAAGGTGGAATGTTCATTCGGAATTTTGCCCTTCTGGTCCGCGTCAGACCACTGCCTAATTTTCACTAAAATTAAATTCAGGGTGAAGGGGGGGAGGGGTCGTCGTCGACATGCACTGTACAATAAACTGCTTTTTTTTCTCCAAATATTGTCTTTATCAAAACATGCTGAGTTACTGTAAGATGTGCCCAAGCCATGTTGCCAAAAACCCTTTTCAACATGCTTGTTAAACGAATGAACTTCAAACAATATACAGACTAAAACTAGAAGAGCTGTAGGATATGAACAGCCCTGAAAATAAAAATGAAAAGAGAACTGGAACAATATCGGGCTTCTGACGACAGAAGCAAGAAATACAGAGTTTACCCTGGGACAAGGGAGAAGTAGAGAAACATGTACAATTTGCACATTATCTTTAGCTTCATAAGGCTTACTCCTTTACAATAATAAATCATAGACATTTATTTTTTTACGTCTTTGTCACATGAACAGATTTCTCACTGTAAATAAAATGTAAAGCTTGTCATTTATCTGTTTGTCTGTAAAAATACAGTAGAGAGACCACTGAACGGTCTACAGGACACAAAACAAGGTTTCATGGTTTGTTAGTTTTTTTCAAATCACAAGGTAGCATTCACTCCCCATGAAAATCATGCACTAGTGAAATGTATTTTTAAAAATAATAGAAATAGTTGAAAATGGCTGATCCGATTCGTTTATCTTTTTTCTTGTCATCTTTTTTTTTTATCCACTTTTTTTTTTTTTAAGTTCAGCTAAAGTTGTGTCCATGCAACAAAAAAACGTGTTTTTTTCAAATCACAAGGTAGCATTCACTCCCCATGAAAATCATGCACTAGTGAAATGTATTTTTAAAAATAATAGAAATAGTTGAAAATGGCTGATCCGATTCGTTTATCTTTTTTCTTGTCATCTTTTTTTTTATCCACTTTTTTTTTTTTTAAGTTCAGCTAAAGTTGTGTCCATGCAACAAAAAAACGTATTTCTTCTTTAGGTTTCATACGGTATCAAGAGAAGTACTTCAATTTGATCTTAAAAGATGATTCAAACCTACATTTCATCTCTCTATTGACTGGGGAGTGAGGCGCTCATTCCCACGTCATATTCTTGTTTTGTGTGTACATTTCTGGGTCTGTTGGCATGGCTTGACCCAAGGAACACTGCTAGCCCATGTAGATACAAATACATCAACATTAAAATAAAAGAAAGTTGAAGAGAACATTTCACCCCATTTCAAAAAGGGCTTCTGAAGAACTCGACTTGTCAGTTCTCAGTTCAGACTCATCTCAAATGGCTTTAAATAGGTTTTAAAAGCAGGAATTGTGACGTTCCTCAAGCTAAGGAGGCCATTTTCCGGCTTCGTCTCGTCCCTGCCCTCTAGGGGTTGCTCTTTGCACACAATGTGTGTGGCATTTTTTTGCGAGGAAAAGAAAGTTGAAGAGAACATTTCACCCCATTTCAAAAAGGGCTTCTGAAGAACTCGACTTGTCAGTTCTCAGTTCAGACTCATCTCAAATGGCTTTAAATAGGTTTTAAAAGCAGGAATTGTGACGTTCCTCAAGCTAAGGAGGCCATTTTCCGGCTTCGTCTCGTCCCTGCCCTTTAGGGGTTGCTCTTTGCACACAATGTGTGTGGCATTTTTTTGCGAGCTAAATCAGGACCGCTTTTTTCACCCCTAAGAAACAAGCTCTGAACACACAACATCAAGCATGCAGTGTTACCGGGGGGAAGGGACCTGTCGCAAATCTCAAACTCCACCCATTGGCTGCTACAATAACGCTAGATTTCAGGAAACTGCTACGAGCGTCCAAACGGCCCAGACCCGCTGTCGAGAGATGACTGGGAAGCTCTTCTGGTCAACGGGGCCAAGGTTGGGTCGACCAATGAAGAGGGAGGAAAAAGCTTGAACCAGCCAATAACCATGTTGGACATGTCCAGATCATCTAAAAGTATCTGAGCGGCTCCCATGAAGGATTTGTGGTCCATACGTCCATAGTCTCCCCACACAATGATCTACGATTGGAAGAGAATAAACAGTCATCAATATCAAGCCACATTCACAAAAAAAAGAGACAAAAATTAGTTATAGACCAAGGCCATGCCTCATAATTAATTTTTTTAAAGCTAAGTTAATATATTGTAAAAAAGGTTTTGATTTAAATGTATTAAAATGTATTACCTTATGTTATTATGCTCATATCATTTATTCAGTCATTAAACTATTATATATGGCATGGCTTTATACATTAAAAAATATATTTTTTCAACAAATAAAACAATATTTATATTTAAATAATTTTTAAATAAAGTATATATAATGAATGATATATATATATATATATATATATATATATATATATAATTTTAAATTTATACAAACATATACATGTATATATTATACAGTATATACAATTTATATATATTTTACAATTTAAATATATGTGTGTATATATATATATATATATATATGGTATTAAATTCAATTCAATTGTAGGCTATTAAAATGTATTTGTCGACTATTACTACAAACTTGTTGATAAAGGTACTGCATCTGTGCACAGTGACCTAAAACTGGTAAATAAAACCATTAGTGATGACATTTTACCTGTAAAACCTTTCCTCCTGGGGCCTCTTCAAACGACAGCTGCTGCTGGTAAAGAGGGTCCAGTGTTTTTCGTGCTACTTTTGTTTTCTTTTTGGCTATGCAGGCGCCGTTCTCCAGTAGATACACCTTTACGTAAGGGGCTGGAGAAGAAGAACCACAAATGGAGTTTAATCGTGAGTGATGAGTTTTCAGGTGCCTGAGAAATCACCTTGAGAAAGTGTAACCGCACTCACCTGGCAGTGCCTTAGAACCTGGTTTTCCCACAAGGCCTCTGGCTCGGATGACCTCTACCTCTAGGGCTCCTTTCTTTTCCACCATCCCGATCTGAATGTCACCTAGACATGAAACAAATCAAGGATATAGGAGTCACACATGGGTAATATTGCCGTAGGGATTTTGAGTGCTACTGGAGACACGAGTGAAGTGTGTATACAGAATCAAATAAACAAGTGCTCACCCATAGGAGGCGTGGCTAATGTCTGTCTCCCCACAAGCTGGGCGGGGCCAAGTCCATCCAGGAAATCACTAAACTGACTGTCAGAAGAGAGTCTCACTCCAGGGAAAATGAGGCTGAGAAGAAAAGGTTTTGATTATTTTGATGCATTTACAGTGGACGTGTCTATGGGTCAAGACATTCTTCTGGGTGTAAAAGCAGAAATGTGCAACTTATAAACTTGTTAAAGCAGTCACATTTGTTCTGCAGTGCAAAAATGTTCATCTGAGCTGTAAAGTCATCAAAATTGCAGTTTTTGTAGATTAACTACTGATTACTACCTGTAAGGTGGATTTGTCTCCATGTAAACAGTTGCTTTCTGGTGTTGTTGCATCTATTGTGTAACAGTTACCAGGCTTAGAACTTTAAATGACATGGCAACAGGTGACAGATTGGATAGACACATTTTATATAATGTTTAAGGTGATACTTTGTGCCAATGTTCATTATTATTAACATCTGGTGCAATACCCTGACCCACAGACTTTCACTGTTAATTGACATTACTGTCAATGCAATTTTTGTTGAAATACAATAATGAATAGAATTTATTTTCCATGGTAAATGACAACAGGTCATAGATGTTGTTGAATGCTAAATTATTATTATCATTATTAAAATTATGTATTTTAATAATAATTTTTTAAAATATGCATATATACATTATAACATGTATTTTTACTATGATACATATTTTCAATATCTAGATTATAATATACATATAATTATGAATATTAATGTATTATTATTACTATTAATAATGATACTACTTTATTTTAATAATTATTTAAAATAAGCATATAAACAATCTATTTATTTGTAATTTATTTAAACGTATCACAATATACATATAATTATTATTAATTATAATTTAATTAATAATAACAATTCATTATTAATATTAGTAGTATTATTCATGTATATTAATAATAATAATAAGTTATAAAACACATACATACAAATACATAAAAAATACATACTAATTCACAATCTAGGCATTGCCATGTTTGTCGGCAGGATTCTATTTTTTTATGTGTGTTTTGTTACTCACTTTCCCTCTGAGCTGTAACTGTTCATGCTGCCGTCAGTGGATTCGCGGCTGGCCTGCCGGGTCATTCTGCTTCTCATCTCTACGGCCAGTCCCGTCTCTGTGCTCCTCTGGATAGTGCTGCGCAGCTTCTTTCCTCCTGCTTCTACAGAGACAGAGAGACAGTTTGTCAGTCAGGATATCAAGACGTCTCAAGCAGAGTGATGAAGGTCACTTTTCTGCACATCGCCCAACACACGGCTCAGATGTGACAGCTGATGTGTTGTTGATCCAGACACACGTGGTTCTGCTCCCACAGGATGGACCGAATTCAACAATTTCTTGTTTTTGATACAGTGCAGTTTTTCTGTTTCTATATCTGGGCTACAGACATGCCATAGTGTCAGTTACATGAGATGCAGGGTGATTTGACATGACGGGTTACGCAGGTGCACTGAACCACAATTAGGCATGACGTGACCAAACACCTCAACCTGTGTCAGCATCCTCTGAGCTGAACAATTCACAACCGTCATAAAGAAAGAAGAAGTGCATGTTAAATGCAATAACCAGCCTTTTGACTTTCATTTTAAACAGTCATGTGTGTAATGTATTTAATGTTAAAATATATATCAATTTAACATGCATAAAGTATAAGAAAGACATTCTTAGTTTGACTTCCTAAGGATTGTAAACACTTTGACATTTCAGCTCAATCAGTAGGGTTATTTTGAAACAGGACTACCTATTTGTCAAGAGTTTAGGAAACTTGTTTAGAAATAATCATTATTTCTGTCTGCAGTTTTGGCTGGTGCTGCTAGTGGAGCAGATATTACATATTTTATCTTTAATTACTTATCTTTTTAATTATATAAGAATAATTATATAAGAAATATGTTTGCATTTTTCATTTTTATTTTGATTGTTTTATGCCTTATTTCGATTTGACAGCTAACTATAACAAAAATCTTATTGCATATGTAGAAAAAGAAAGCACACCCCAGATTCTTTATTAATGTCCTAAGTTGCCATGTTTCCTGCCACCTGTAAACCACCTACAGGTAGAGTAATGACTATATTACTTTGCAAAACAGTAGTTTATTCCCATTATTATGATTCATTGCACAATTTTACCCAAGCAATATATCACTTGAGGCTAAAATCGCGGTTAAGCTGTTAAACAGGTTCGCTTGTTGCTTATTGCTTTAACTTGATGTCCAAAATTGATGCACATCCTGTTATTTTACTGCCTAATATGCAAAAATGATGAGGATGATGCAGTAATGTGAGGGCTATTTAGAATGCAGAACCCATTTTCAATAGGTAGGAAAGAGAAGGCTGGCTACAGGAAGCAGACATGGCTGAGATTAAACCATTCAATCACAGCTCACACACGGCAGGCTCGATTTTCTTTTCATTCAATGTCATCCGCCTCTGCTTTCGGCCCTGAGACGTAGCTGAACACAAGAGGATGACGAACATAGCGGCGGACGTGACTGTCCTTTTCTGTACTAACAGCACAGTTGTATATAATAATCAAGTCAAAATCAAAATAAACTCCTAACGGTTGAGGTCTTGTTGAACTTGACCGAGATAAACCTGAGAAACAACGATGCACAATGTCAGAAGCCTCAATTCAACCATCCCTTAAACCGACAGTCCACCCAAAAATGAAAATACTGTAATCATTTACTCTCCCTCATGTCGTCGTTCCCAACCTGTATGACTTTCTTTTTTTCTGCAGAAAACAAAAGTAGATATTTTGAAGAATGTTGGTAACCAAAGAGTTTCAGTTCCCCTTGACTTCCATTGTACTTTTTGTCCATATAATAGAAGTCAATGGGAACAAAATCTGTTTGGTTACCAATATTCTTCAAAATATCTTCCTTTGTGTTCCACAGAAGAAAGTCAGTAATACAGGTTTGGAACAACATGAGGGTCGCTTTAATGAGCCATGTTTTCTGATCATGTCTTTAAAAAGCTCTATTAAATGGTGCGACACTATCTTGATGACAATTAAGCACATTTTCCCCCCAAAATTGTCATTTTAAATAAATAAACGTATTAATAAATTAAAATACTCATATATTAAATTGTAAAGTATATATACATTATGATAGTATTTGTGCTGCACTGCCTTTGATTTATGCTGGTTAAAAAAAACACTGTATTACAGTATTATTCTTGTAGTACAATAACAATAACCATCAAAGTACAATTTCAGGATTCATTATGGTATTGACAATTTTGGGAGAAATGTGCTTAATTGTAATGAAAAAAAATCTATATCCTTTGTTTTATTTATTAAAATAAAATAAAATAAAAAAAAATGGGGGTGAAATGTGACCTGGACATCTTATGAGATTCACTCAGTGATGAATATATTAATGTATTAACTAAAATCTGGTTGCACCTACACATCACACAAAGGGAATTTGTTCTGCAAGATATGAAAAGTCATCTGATATTTCCAATGATATTAACCTCTATAGCGACTGAAGGGGGAGAAAGAGAGAGATGCTGTAGAGAAAGGAAATCAAGCACCTTCAAGGTCATAACACATGACGATGCTTGAGTCCCACCAAAACACACTGCACGACTATTAAGTGCTATAAAACTGTCACAGCAATTTATGCACAAGAATAACTCTTTTCCTGACAGCCTTGCACAATTCTTCTCATCATTTATGTAAACTCCACCAGAAACCATAAATGACCATAATCCAAAATAAACTTGAATGAAACAGTTGGTATGCTCTATAAAACCAAATATCCTGCAAAACGCATGAACTTTGACATGCAAGATGCTCATTTGGACATCTCCACATGTGACACATCTTACCTCCATCCTCCTCATCGAAAGAATTCATGCAGGGGAAGTAGACAGCCAGCGCTTCGAACGAAGCCGACAGACTCATTCGGCTCTGGGAGCGCTGCATGCGGCCGCCGGTGCTGCCTGCACCTGTGCCCGTGGTGGATGTGGCATCGTGGCTTTGCCTGCCCATGTTTACAGCCGGGCCGAATGGAGAGGATGCTGTAGTGCTGAGACTGCGGACGATGGGCTAAACTCAGAGTGCAGAGTGCTCTTAAACAACATTTAAACTGCAGTGGATGCAGGACGGGTTCTTGCTCCAGTCAGGGTTGGTTTTGGGTTCTTCAGCTGGAGAACGTTCTGCGTTGACTGATCTCCCTGGAGTATGCAGCACTAGTGTGCGTTCGGTGCAGTGAAGCTGTCGGCTCTCCTCAAGCTATCTCCTTTCTAACACGTACAGGAGGGGGGAGGAGGCGGAGCCTGGCTCCTTTTCTTGCATTCTCCCCCAGCCAATCAGAGGCAGCGGTGGGGCTCAGCACTTCAAATGCTCCTCCAGGCACATGAGCTTTACCCAGAGATACTACAAATGTGTGTGTAGCCATTAGGAACCTGAGCATCTCTTGCCCTGACTGTCCACATCCCAGTCACCCACAGTTCCCGTGATAAACACACACACACACACACACACACACTTGCACGCACACAGACTGATAATTCCACCTTTCTCTCCGGCTCTTAAAAAGACAAGATTTATTTCGCCGTGCTGACGTGCATCTTTTATCTCGGGCCTCCACCTCTCTCTTCACTATCTCCCAATGTAAATGTTTACCACAGAAGATGTCCGGCCACAGAAACAGCTGAATCACTGCTATCCCAAAAAAATATCCCCGCAAAATGCATTGCAAATATTTGCGTAGTCATAACAGGAATAGCAGCCATATCCAACCACTTTCAACAGCCACTCAAGGCGTCACATTCAGAGAGAAACAAGAAACTGTGTGTCTAATGTGGGCTAAAATATTAGATTTTTACATTATGCAAAATTTACAACCATGATAGCAGGGTGCGTTCTAGGACAATGCTATGTGGTTTCTACAGTGTTATGAAGGTCAAAATCACCCAAAGTCTCTATGACATGGATTCTCAGTCTTTGATGCCAAGGACCTCTTTCCAAAAACCTAATGACAGCACATTTATACTATATTTTAGGGCTGTCACGATTCCTCTATTAAATTCGACTACTTGGTAATTAAAAAATCCTCGATTGCATTTCGCCTATGTCAATTAACCGGCAAAATTCCGGAAGTGGCACGAGACTCCATGAAAAGCATTATTAGACCGTTATCTAAGGCTACACAAAATATTAAAACCATTTAAAAATCATAATAAAGCATAGTGCTATTGTGAATTCACAAAGGCTGCGATTCAATGAAATTCATACTGTATATGCGCTGCGGGTTTAATATGCATGTAGGTTACGTGCATCTCAGAGTGGCTCCGTTCACAGTAAATGCTGCTCCACACAAACAGCTATCACTTACATGCGCGGATCGTCTGGATATACTGAGTCTAAGTTGCTTATAACGTTCATCTGGGAACATTGTGCATCATTTTATCAGATTTATAAGGTAAACCATTTAGAAACCTATGCCAACACAGGAGAATACATCATTATCTTTCTAAATATGCTAACTGTTCATCGCGACTTGAAAATAAAAGTTTAAACCCTCACTCTGAGTTTGCATGTTTTGATGTCCACATGTTCTTGTTCAAGAAATGACAGTAGTTGTAGCATTTCTATAATAAAGTAGTGGCCAAACATTGAAGTATTTTAACAGCATTTGAATTACATGTTTTTTAGTCAATATTAAACAAGGATTAGATCATGCTGTAAAGAGTAAAAACAATAGTTGGCACCCTATGCAGGCATTTGATATAATACATAATGTAATAAAACAACAATCATAACTTATGTACATTATGTATTGTAATGGTTTTGTTCAACAACAAAAAAACGCAATTATGTAATTAATGCAAATTTGTAATTCATTAAAATTGTATAAAATGCATTTTAAAAGAAGTTACAATAGAAACAGTTGTATTAGTGTTTTTACAGCCTTGTTGAGCATAAAAGACTTTTTAAAATCATAATGTTTACATACACGCGGACACACACTCACACATGTATGTGTGTATATGTGTATGTCTTTCATATCTGAGTATGTGTTTTATATCTGTCACTATTGTGATCTGGTATCTGGTACTACTCTGATCCATTATGGTTCATTTTGACTTGTTTATGGCTCTCTGTGAGGTCTGACTTTCTTCTAGCAGACATGAAGGAACATAACACGGTGTACCGTTACTCCCAAACCTGCCAGAATGCACTCTCATCCTGATTCACTGCCAAATACAAGACAGGGGGACATCTCATCATCCTCATAACACAGCAAAAGGAGGGAAAGCAGGCAATTACGGCCCAAAGACTGAACTAGCCTAAACTAGACTTTGACTGTGAAACTCACCAAGACTGACAGCCTGAGAATGGAAGATGGTTTTTAACACCCAAAGTATTAAATGCTAAAGTCAAACAAAAATGATAACGACCCACGTGTACAAATTGCACAATCTGAGACTTAAACGAAGCACAAGCAAACTTAATTAAGTCTCCTGAGCTATAAAAGTGCAAATAAAATAAAAATTCCCCCTGGGTTACCACATATGCCAACATTCTCTAAAACTTCTCTATTGCAAGCAGTTTAGCTAATACTTAGCACATGACTTAATCATTCTGGGAAATGTTGATTAATGATTCATGATTCACATATATGCAGTCTGAGACTTACAAGCAAAGAACTACAATATAAACCAAATGTAGTCAACACAATCAGTAATAAGGGTTCAAAAAAAGTGCAGATTAGAGGAAAACATTTATGAATTAGTGTATTCAATCAATCAGCCACTACACTATAGTGGCTACTACAAAAAATACAGATGATATCACTGGACAGGCTGTACCACAGCTTCCTTTGTACAACAACCACTTTATCATTAGCATTTCAAATGAAAAAGCCTCTTCATAATGTTTCCCCCTGCCAATTTCCATTGTAAATATCTATTCATCTACGCAAGTTGGTCACAGTCATTCAGTAAATGGATCAAGAGCTTCAACTGGCCTACAGTCCCATTATTTGGACAAATGTCAATTGTGTAGAACTATGGTTTTAAAACACTGTCCTTTAAAATGCCACTTTGAGGTGAAGAGCAAATGTTACTCAGGACTAGTTCATCTACACCAGAAATTTCCGAACTTGTTTAAAGTGACGAAATAGATTACTCAACGTCCTTTACATGAGAACAGCAGAAACCCTCCAAATCTTCAAGCACAGGCTTGCTTTTTTCATATGAATACTCTTTTTTGCTGTTGTTGTTAACGACTTTGTGTCAAATTAAAGAATGACGGTGTAAGGAAGCTGGTATTGATCTTGCTAAGCTGCGACTGTGAATGTAGAAAATACTCATTTTGTTGATTTATGTTGTGACAGCCATGCATGGTTACATTTCCCTTGATTCTTTGCAGCATAAAAACAGCACAAAATGCATTACACACACAGTTTACTCTGTACTCTTCATTCTCTAAAAGCTTCTTGTTTTAGTCAGAAAAGTGAGAAAATAAATATGATGAGAATGAAATCTGAAAATGTAACAATTTGTCTATTTTATAAAAGGTTATATATATATATATATATATATATATATATATATATAATATTTCAAATTTTTTATATTTTAAATACAGACAGAAGAAGAGTCTGCGCATGCCTGAGAGATGAAAACATCTCGTATTACGTGAATTTCAAGAACAATATAATAAATGTGATTTAAGTAAAAAATAAAAATAAAGGACATTTATTATAATGTTCTTTAAATTCCCGTAATATGATTATTTATTTGTATAAATCATTCTTTACATCAAAAACAATGTCCATACTGACATGTGAAACAACTGAACAAAAATGGAGATCTTTACAAATATGACTGAATTGAACCATTATGAATTATGATGCCCACATCAAACCAAATTTCAGATTAATAGAGGTCATCAAGACTCAAATTAACTGGCACAGAACTCAAGCACGAAAACAAAACCCATGAAAGCACGGACAGTCCGCTCATGCCTGAGAGATGAGAACATCTCATATTACGGGAATTTAAAGAACGTCACATGTGAGAAAAACACAAAGATGTAATGACCTGGCAGTGCGCCGTGAGATGGGGCAACAGCGTGTGAGACTGATGATGTTTTGACCAGCTCAGGCAGCCGTGTGTATGTGAGTGTGTGTGTGCAGATAAACATTTCTACTGAACAACATGTTTACATCCTCTCATACCTGCCTTCATCTCTGCACTATGTCATGCCACACTAGCTCAGAATAACCAACACAGCATCAGAAAATGTAAAAGTCATTAGCACAGGAACTCTTCAGAAAGCGCTGCAGAAAATAAAAAAAAAATGATGCAGAATATCATCACTGATCATCATCGACTGTGTGTGCATTAAAAATCAAGGAAAGGTTTGGGTCATACTGCACCACAAAAAAACAATAAATAAATAAATATAAATAAAAAGTTTTGCATTGAGAAAATCATGGCTGTTTTTAGGACCATTAATTTTTTTTTTCATTATGACAGTATTTGCATGACAATTAAACACCCCACATGTGAAATATGATGGAAAGAACAGGATAAAAAAATCCTGCACATTGTCGTAGGTTTTCACAAGTTGCAAGTCTGGGATGTGAAATATGGCCGGACATTTCTTGACAATTTTCATGAGATTCACCTTTAAAGGGGTCATATGATGCTTTTTTTAAAGATCATTATTTTGTGTATTTGGTGTAACAGAATGTGTTGACATGCTTTAATGTTCAAAAAACACATTATTTTTCAAATACTGTACATTATTGTAGGTCCTCTATGCCCCGCCTCTGTCAAACGCTTCGTTTTCTACAAAGTCCCTCCTTCCGACAAGTGCAGTCTGCTCTGATTGGCCAGTTGACCCAGTGCATTGTGATTGGCCGAACACCGCAAGCACTCGTCGGAAATGTAACGCCCCTTACCATAATCGCGAGCTTCATCTTTCAAAATAAATGCAAAGCCAGAGCCCGGAAGGGGAACTCACCTTCAAGTAACATTAAATAGATACAATGTCGTTCTGTCAGCTGTCAAGTGATAAACCTCACACTTTCATTCTCTTAACACGTCTAACAAAGAGACGGGCGATTCAGATGGAGGGACGACCACTTCCTCTGCCAGTGTGTGGACAGATGGAGAAAGACAGAAAGAGAGACAGAATAAACTTTAGTGCTTTACTAACAGCTCAGATCGATAGAACTGGCATCTGTGCAGCAGACTGAAGCCAGGGGTCACCAAACTCGATCCTGGAGGGCCGGTGTCCTGCAGAGTTTAGCTCCAACTTGCCTCAACACACCT